ATGAGTTGGAAAAGTAAGCAGACGCTAAATATAAAAAGCATTTGAAGCAGCAGGTGCCGTCAGTAAAGCCGCGCACTTTCAAACTTAGAGACCACTCTAGTCCATGACTAATAATACCGCAGCAAATAACTGTAAGTTTTCCAAGAAAGTTAATTCCATCAGACCAAGAGCCACCCAAATAAAGATGTTCAAGAGGAATAAACATGAAACATCTTTGATTTTCTTCCGACAGTACCAATAACTACTGTGAAATTTTGTGGCTATCTTCGCAACAGTTTCACAACTCTCTATAGATTGAAAAGTTTCCTGGAAAAACCGTGTTCTATTAGCTTTAACTCCACACGACTAAAAAAATTTGAATTTTTAGCTAACAAAGTCTCCGCCCAAAATCTGACCACCGTCGTCACCATCACCACCACCACCACCATCATTATCATCACCACCAACATCACCAACATCACCATCATCATCTTCGCTATCAACAGCAACAACAACCGCATATGAAATGTCAAACGTCCGTTCAGTCGTTACACACATACTGATTATTCAACAAATTTTTGTAAACAATTCCATCTTTCAGAAAACACGCAATTTTCTCCTCTCCTCTCCCCCTCTTCCTCTATTCCTAATTTTTATCACCCATAAAACATAACGATCCTCTGCAATCATCTCGCAGTGTTAAATAACAAAGACAATTTTTCATCTCTTCCAGAAAGAAAGAAAAAAAAAGAGGAAAACGAGGAAAAATGGAAAAGATCGCAATATTTAAAAAGAAAAAAAATTTGATTATATCTTTCTAATTGTCAATAAAAAATCCAACCTAATTTATAAAAAAAACATTCTTCATTCAGTTCATACAGCAATCAAAAAACACAAGTTTTTCCTACGTAAAATGTTTTTTTTCTTTTTTATTTTGTTATTTGAAAAATAATATGTTAAGAACGACATTAGAAAAAAAAACAATCATTAATTATAGTATATCAAAGAAACATACGTTTGTCCAATTATTGTGTACCGTCAATTAATTCAAAAAAAAAAAAAAAAATAAATAAATAAAAAATGAAAAGCAAAATAAGAATAAAAAACCATGTGCTTTAAAGATCTAATCCAAAAGGTTGCTAGTCTTTCTTCTGAAACCCTACCCACTTATCCAACTGAACGAGCACAACAGTTCCAAAATTCCTACATTCTAACAAATTTCTAAAACAAAATTTCCAGAATTCAATCAGAAATCTATTTCTACACTTTTAAATTCGGGTATCTTCGACAAGCTGACCGACCAACTAAACTCATCATCAGCTATATGCATCAACTTCGCTAAACAATTAAGTAATCAAACTAGACGTTTGTTTATCAGCCAAGCTTCAACACATTTCATCGAAATCCCGTTAAGAAAACTTAAACTCTCTCAAACATTTTAAATAACAGAAAAAAAAACAAGAAAAAGAAAAAAAACGAGTTTTAGCGGCAAAGCTGTTCACATAATTCAACTTGTAGATCTCCAAAAACATTCTGTATATCGACTAACAATAAAAGAAAAAAAAACCAAATTTTCTTTTTCCTATTCTTCCAGAATACTTCAGAAGCACATTGAAAGATAAATCCGTATTGTTTTTCTTCCAATTTCAAAATGAATCAAAAGATGACTTTTTACAGAATTTTTAAAAAGCAAAATGAAAAAAAAAACAAAGCAATTCTAAAAGCGGCTCATTTAATCGGTTATTTAAGCCAAAAAACTTCTTCTCTTCTTTCCTTTTTCTTCTTCTACTTCTTAGTTTTTCTCAAGAATTAAATTTTCTCTAAAAAAAAAGTCCAAAACTTGACAGAGTGTGCACTAACGAAAAAATAGTAAAAGCAGTCTCTGACGGCAAAGGAAATTATTTTAATATTTACCATTTTTACGACAACCCAAATGTTTACGCATCCCAAGTAGAAACAGAAAAAAACTGAAAATCGCCTGTTATAATACGTAAATTTATATAACTGTTAGCTAAAATAGCATTAATATCCTCTTGAATTGTTCTCAGAATATTTGCATCATCAACATTTGACACCACTCTTTCTTTTTTTTTTTTTTTTTTTT